CAAGCTCACGTGAATGTGCAACGGCCTGGAGATTATGACCATTCAAAGAAATCTTTAAACTATCATTTAATACCTTATTTTATTATAAGAAAAGTCTTATGAGCGAGAGCTTGCAAAACTTATATAAACCCAGTTGCTTCTGCATAGAAGTACTAGAACATACTGTACATACACCTCATTTTAGGTCATGTCTAAGATGATAATTTACCATTGTAACATTGTAGATAAGGTAAAAAACACAAGAAAAAGCATGTCATGGGCTCTTTAACATCAGTCATACATTTAGAACCAGTTCTGGTTATTACAGGAGGGAGATTCAATGGCTAAACAAGTTAATGTAGATTCCCATCATATAATGTTAAAACAGTAAGTACATAAATCGGAAAATAAACAGAATAAACAAGTGCGTTGTACATATTAATTAAGAAATTTCCTTAAAAGAAAAGTCCATTTGAGAAATACTAAACTAACTGAACCAAAATAATCATCTCAGGCCTTGAATCATGCTCATGTAAACACAAAATGCACACAACAAAGAGACATTTTGCACCTCTCCATAGATCAAGCTCACACAATCAACCTTGCCATTTTATACAATTGTCTTTCTGGCCAGTGTGTGTGCCACAGTAGTTACTGTAATGATGAAATACACATCAGCCTAATGGGTCTGTCCTACTGAAAAAAAGATGCTGTCTGAAACCACATTTTGACCAGCTTGTTTTTCTGTTTGTTGCTGGCCAGTGGCTAAACAAACAGCCTGTTACCACCACCTTATTTAATAAGGCCTAATCATCATAATAATTGGCAATACTTTAGAAAAAATTGGCTGTTGTCATTCTGTCATTATTCTCATTAGGAAGATTAGCACAGCTGAACCACGGTTGGTGTGAGGCAGCAGGGGGTGAGGTGTGTTTCCTGGTTTATTTGGTTCTCTGTTATTTATTGTCTCAGCCTCACCTCTCTACTGCACCGTTACACTAGTAGGCAACATTAGGTATGTAGCATTTTCCCTGAGAAATAATAATAATACATAATACAAAGGTCTAGACCTTACTTTGTAAAGTGTCCTGAGATGACTTTTGTTGTGATTTGGTGCTATACAAATAAAACTGAATTGAATTGAATCTGCTCTAAATGATATTTTAATGATATGGCTGCTCTTGATTTTTCAGTAGTAGTACTATAGTTTTAAGTATCCTTTGCTGCTTTGACAGCGAGGAATAGCTGACACACTAAATATACATGTGGTTGCTTTTGTCTTTTTGTCCTGCAAAGTTGATAGACTGGGGGCAGATCTCTGGCCCTCAGAGCAGCTGTATCTCCATGCAGGACATGGTGGACAACCAAATGACAAACCATGGGCAGTTCTGGAGTTAACTGATGATACTAGAACGAGAATGAAAAATTGGGATAGCAGTCTGGCCTGTAGTCTACTTAATTCAGTTTGACATGGTTATTGTTGCTTTAATGGCAGTGAAATTTGCTGTTGTGTCATGATGATAACTACATTTCACTTACACAGTGAGAATGAACTAAGCCTTTGCAAGCACCAGTTAATATCAGCCCTCAGTTAAGGGATTTTTTCAACAGGCATGGTGTGATTTTATTTTTCAAATAATGTGCAAACCTGTTTTAACATCTCCTGGGAAATATCTCAGCACAGTATACTGTACAAATAAACAAGACATGCTAGTTATCCAGTGAAACAGCAGCTTTGCATTATACAGTGGCCATCTTAGTGCTTGTCAGGCACAGCTATGTATGTATTATTGAGAACAGGATGCTGCATTACAAAATAGCCATCCCTGGTAGACTAGTGGTCAAGGTGCAGCCTTGCATCAGGAAGGGCATCTGGCGTAAAACGTGCAAAATGTCAGCATGCGAGTCGCCAGTGTGACGATTCGCTGTGGCGACCCCTAAACGGGAAAAGCCAAAAGTGACTTTCTTTCTATGCTGCATTACAAAATAGGGCCCATTCTTTAAAATTTCTTGTCTGGCACATAAGGACCCCAAAAATTTCTTTTCCAAGTTTGCTTTTCATACTGTGGCCCCCTTGTTTGTGTGCATTAGGGTTTCCCCTGCTTCCCCAGTCTGTGTGCTTTTGCTTGGCCCAGAGACTTTTTTACAAATTAAAACCTCTGAGGTTTGATCGCTCATTATACAAAGAGTGATAATTGACCTGGTTTGGAGTTCAAGGTATCCTGTCACAGTCCTGTTACAGACCTCTTATCATTGTAGTTGTATGGAGAAAATGCATTTCCAGCTGCAAGGGGATTTTTGTTGCCCACAAGTGCACACTGGGAAATATTGGTTGAACAACAGAGAGGTGGCATCTGTACATCCATGGGCTCAGATCAGTCTAACTTGGCTCAGCTTTCATCAGTTTAGTTTTTGTCTCAATCATGTGGGTCAATTTGCAACACACTGACAAATTACCATTGTTTGGGAACCTGTGTGAAGATGTACTGAGATTTAGGTCTGCTTTGATGTGACTAATCTGTTGATGTTTGTGTTAATATAATGTACCATCATTTTTCATGTAGCGCTTATAACATTAACATGCTACCTTTAGCATGATATGCGTGGTCACACTTAAGAATTAAACTGATCATATTAACACTAACTTTACTGTACTATAAGCCTAAAAGCTCACCATCATCATGTTAACATGATCAATGTACACTTAAAATGGTAACATTATCTTTAAGATAAAATTGTAGCTAATCTAAAACTGGCCATTGTTAAGTATCCTGTCATGAACATATTGCACAAATGGAGACTTAACCTGTGGCAGCACTTGATGAAAAGTCTGTTGATCATCATTTAGGATTATCATTAGGATTCATCATCTGGGGACCACAAAACTGTGGGACTCTCATAAGAGGCACAGAGACTTTACTGTCATTGTATAATTACAACAAATGTAATGCAACAGTACACACATCATAATGGCCTAGTTATATGTAAAAATATATACATTTAAGTGCATAAAAATATTACTGTATATGTATTATCAATGTTCCTCTAAAAATCATATTTGCCTAATTATTGGTTATTTTGGTAAAGCTTTTTTTTTTACATGTATGTAAATTCCAGTTTATTTCTGAATAATTTCCTAAAAAATGTCCTGGAAGGAACCACATACTTTGGTACTAATTACAGGTACAATTAGAGAGTGACTGTTATGGTTGCTCATACACGGAAAGGAACGAGCAATAAAGACGGACCCAGATAGTTGACTTCGGTGCAAGCAGTGATGGGTTTATTTACAGTGTAATTTAAAATGCAATAGACAGATAGGTGCTGAATGGTATGGAGTAACTGGGTGTCGATCAGTGGCAGAGAAAAACAGTCAATGGTGAGATGGATGGTGACAGACCGGGCTGCGGACGCTGGGGTCACTCCTGAACTGGTTGT